ATTGCACAAAATATATGGTTTATATGTGTTCTTCAATCTTCGGTATTTTTTTATAAGGAAAGTATATTTATAATGCAATGTTAATCGACATGGCCTTTATCACTGTATATAATACTATCATTCTGTAATATGAAACCACGTCTGGTCACAAAAAGAAGTATTTCAAACACTCGACTATGTTATTAAGTTAATTTGGAGAAAAAGCATGTCAATAAATTATATCTTTGTTGGACAACAGGTTTGTAAACAGGCTCATACACATGCGAAACTGTATCGCACACGTGTTACTGTAGTAAATTTATTCAGACCGATTTTTTTGTGCACTGTACAGCCCTAACCAAACCAGTTACAGGTTGTAAAAGGAGCTCAAGCTCCTCGTTTAGCGATATAGGCTACTCCTCCTCAATTTCACGTCCGCCTTCCGCGATGTCGCTCCACACAGTCGCACACAGAAATATGTCAGCAGCTAGACTTTATCGTTATTATCGCGGGAAGACTAATTCTTATAGTGGGGAGAATTTTTACCGGTATATCGCAAACGATAAGATATCGCCCATCCCTAGTACTGAACATGCTAAAGTTAAATCTGCTAAAATGATCTGCCCCACACACATCTACTCATTTTTTCACACCAAATGTAGATGACATTTTTTTTCTCATGAAATCCAGAATTCATCAAGAATCCATCAATATTTCTGTAAATGTTTGAACTAAGATATTGTAAGTAATGGATATTGTTTTTCTGAAGCAATGATATGACTAGTGATATGATTCTAATTTTTAATCTATACAAAGTCTATGGTTACATTCAGCTTCAGTTCTCTACCTCTCTATGATACTGAGTTTGTTTGACACAGTGGTGCCAAGCTTGGCCATATTTGACAGACGGTGAAGATGAAGGCCAGTAGCTTCACCTCCGCTGGGTTACGGGCATGTTCCCTTGGTATGTCCGTTAGTGTGAGAGTCTGAGCTCAAATGTGAGTGTGTGTTGGAAAGCTATTCATGGATGGTTGCTTCCCAAGCAATGACTGCAAGAACTGGGACAAGGTCATTACTATGGTGACAACTCACATTCCATGATCCAGCTACAAGCAGAATTACCACTGCACTTTAAATGTGTATTTATGAGCTGGGTATATCAATAAACATCAAAACTATATCATTTCTGATTAAAATAGGCAGGCCGGTGGAGGCAATGTTATGTTCTAGGCAATATTCTGCTGGAAAACCTTGTTTCCTGGCATTCATGTGGATGTTACTTTGACATGTACCACCTAAAGACTGTTGCAGACCACGTACACCCATTCACTGATGTTCCCTGATGGCAGCAGCCTCTTTCACCAGCATAATACACTCTGTCACACTGCAAAAAAAGGTTTAGGAATGGTTTGAGGAAGATGACAAAGGCCACATTTACTCTGCAGGTCTTGATGCCCCATTCCGGTTTGTTGGCTATATCCAACCATATCTATACTGGCTATATCGATTTTAAAAGTGACCCATATCTGATATCTGCATACACTACAGACTTGGCTTAACAACCCACGGTAGAAGTACTGACCCGGAAACAGGGTTGCCAGTAGTGGTTGACCAATATATCGCCAAGGCCGATATATTGGCCGATATTTGGCATTTTTAAATATCGGCATCGGCCGATAAGTTTTCCTGTTTGGCCGATGCGTTTGAGGTGGGACTTTTATTTTGACTGCGCTGACAGCCCTCACATTCTCCCTCTTGTTCGCCGTCGTCGTTAACAGTTCTGTTTAATACTGATAGAAGTCTGTCTAATAATCAGATAGAACGGTTAAACAAAGGAATTAAAATGTATACAAAGTATTATAACGATTTATTTTATATTATTAGTAATAGAAAGGCAAACATTATAATACTTTCTTGTTTGCCGTCAGCATTCAGCAAATGCGCATTTATATCATTTAAACAAATCTTTGAATAACTAATGAACATTTAATTTCACAAAGCTTGCAAACTTAGTCGGATCCAGTTGTGAGATCTTGTGAAGTGTGCATTTGTATCCTGCATGATCGCGTGTACTCTGCATGACGGTCGGTCCATGCGAACTGAATACGGACAGGAGGAGAGTTCAGCTTCACGGAGATGCACGATTGACAAACTTTAAACTCGTGATTTCAAATCCTGCATGATCGCGTGTTCTCTGCGTGACGGTAGGTCCGTGTGGATGGAATGTGGACAGGTGGAGAGTTCAGCTTCACTGGAGACTCGCGATTGACAACTTTAAACTCGTGATTTCAAATTATGCTGCGCTTTATGCATTTGCCCACTGCCATATTCATGTCATTTCCACTGTGTGCTGTATGTAAAATGAGTGTTACCTTGGCTTTATTTGAAAAAATATGATTCCCAAATCCCAATGCACACAAACTTCCCAGAATACTGAGTGCCCTGTTGGTTACAGTGTTTACTTCCTTTTTTTATTGTATTTTTTTATTAAATATTTATTTATTTTTGAAAAATCATTTTCATTTTCATTCATTTTTTTTTTAATGATGCACGACTTGTACAGGGTAATATCCAATCTGGCCACTTACAGGGTAGATGCAAATGCATGTATCTGATTCATATCAGATTTATTTCCTCTTATGAATGAAGCCTGAAACCGATTTGAGAATATCAGAATCTATGTGCTTTTTTCTGCTTAAACATTCGTGGGTCGTATCGATCTCTGCCACACAGAAGGAGAAAATCAGAATTGGTTCACTTCAACCATGTAATGTAAATGCGGTCTCTGAGTTCAAGGTGTTGCTTTGGCCTCCAAATTCCCCAGATCTCAATCCGACTGAGCATCTATGGGATGTGCTGGAGCAACAAATCTGATCCATGGAGGCCCAACCTCACACCCTGCAGGACTTATAGGATCTGCTGCTAATGCCTTGGTGCCGGATACCACGTTCAGAGGTCTTGTGGAGTACATGCTTCAATGCATTAGAGCTGTTTTGGCATCATGAGGGGACCTACATGATATTAGGCAGGTGGTTTTAATGTTTTGGCTGTGCATGTTCTTGTTTATCCGGTAACGAGTAGGGCTGGGCGGTATATCGAGTTTGTACGATATATCGATATTTTCTTTATAAGAGATTCGATACGAGGCAATACCGTTTAAATTGATATACAGTATTTGATACGAGCGCATCTGAAAATATAGCGGAGGACACAGACTGAGCTGCTGCGGAGAAAGTGCATAATCCAATTTGTTCTAAACATGTGACAAGCTTAATATTAAGGCCTTTAAAAACTGGTAAGACATAGTTTATAGTTTCGTTTCACATATTGAATCAAAGTTTAGATGTAATATTAAATAGTCATTATAATACAATAAACAAGATGTGTTCCCTGTTGAGAGATCAAAACCCTGATATTACACTGAGCAAAAAAAGACAGATGTATTAGTATTATAAAAAAAAAATTATTGTCATAGCCTATATGTGTCCTCTTATGTAAGATTCTTAAATTGAATCAATATATTCAATCGGAATAAAAAGACATGTTTGCTATTTTAATCATGATTTTGACACACAGACATGCTTTAAAGTCATAAATGCATTCAGTGTGAATTTGAAACATATTTCCAAAAGAAAACCAATTAGAGCTTTATCAAAAAGCTGTAACGTCTCTAGAACAGACATAAGGCAAAATAATCACTAAGTAAAGGTGTAACAAAATGTCTATATAGACATATGGCAGAAAAAAAAAAAATCCCGTGTCCAGGGATTTTTTTTTGCCATGCATTGGTCATAGAGCTCTTTGTGGCATTGCCTCAATTGTTGAACTAGATTTGTCGCGCCAAGTTCACACGTACTCCGTCTGCAGTGCGTATACAGTATGTGTATGCGGTATTTTAGAGATTTAGCACGGACTCATTTTGCTTTCGCACGTTTGCAGTCCGCTCCTGATCTGCGGCTGTTTACCACAAACACAACATTTATCCATTATTTTGATTTCAAATCCAAACGTTGTTTCTGAAAATGCTTTTTCAGCATTGTGATTCTCTTTTATCACAGTACAGTAATACAATCTTTCATTGACATTCACGTTTAAACTCAATAAATATAACTTTGTTTAACTACCACCACGAGTGCCATCTATTATTGCCTTGTTTATCTAAAAGTGCACTTTTCCTTGTTTTAAATCTAGCCAAAAAGCCATGTGTTGACTGTGCAACAGTAGACTTTAATTATATGCATTTATGGTGTAATTGATAAATTTCCGTGTCAATCCATGTAAATTTTTACCGCGAATAATGCGCTGTCACTTTAATTCAGCGCGTGCAGCACAGCAGAAATAGACTCCGTGCAGAAACGATCGCAGCATGACTGCTGCAGACGCACCGCTCCTGGAGCGCACTGCCGGACCGCAATCGCGTGCAGTGTGAACACTCTGATCCGTTAACATGGGCGCGGAAAAAACCGCACCACAGACGGAGTGTGTGAACCTGGTGTTACGTTTGTATGCCCGCCCGGTCTGTTCTGTTCTCGTGCTCCATTTAGGCACTCTGCATTCTGATTGGTTCGGATAGCACGATTTTCCACTCCCCCGACCTCCAATAGAGCGAAACTCTCATGGTTCTGGAAGCTAAAACTGGTTTTTTTAATGATAATGCGTAAACTTTTCCACACATTCCCACCATGAGCTCTGAGACTGAGCTATATAAGCTTCTGTAGAAGGCCACAAGTGAGCATCACAATAGCTGAGTCAACAACTTCGATTTATATTGTGGATTATGGGAAGATCCTTGATATAATGTGTTTATTACTTCTATAGCATACTACTATTAAATTGATCAAAAGTGTAAAAGTTAAAGCGATTTAGAAATCGCGCACGCTCAAATCACAATTTTATGACGATTTCGATTAATCACACAGCCCTACACCAAACTCCATAGATAGATTCTGCATAAGTTATGTTAAGTTTAAACATAACATTTTAATGTAGAAATATTAAATGATTCCTAAAATTAAATAATACGTTACTTTTTAAAATATGAAACTACAACCGCCAATAGGTGGCAGCAAATAACTGTCTAAATGAGTGAGTTGAATACTTAAATCAACCGGTTCATTTAAAATGCTAATTAATTTAACTTCGTAAACAACTGTATAGCCTGATTGAATCATTTCCGTGAACAAAACACTGTGTTGCTCGGAGACGCAGTGGTTCTGCTGTTTGTTCTGTTTTCTTTTTGACGGAGCAAAATGGAATTTTGTGTCTGAAAGTTACTTGTTTATTGTACATTTGCGATCGTGCAGATATTCGGAAAAACAGGATTCTTGTTTGTGTGATAGGCTAACTCCTATATCATAGGCATAATTCATTAAATGGCTATTGTTCTTTTTTTTTTTTATCATTTTGATGACATTTCTGCCCCACTATGTGTGATGGCAGTGAGACGGGAGAGAACGCACAAAACTCTTCAGATCGCATAATTTAGTGGAACATTAATATAATATAGAATCATCCTCTGTAAAGAAATGAGGTGTGAACATATGAGAATTTATCATTATCTTTCTAAATGTGCACTCTTTTGGGCTAAAGGCTTAAATGGAGCTGTTTAAAGTAGCCATGTGATCAAATTAATTGGCGCCGTCGCGAGTCAATACGTGTGTCCTTCTGTGAAAAAATAATCATAAATATCAGTTTATGCTGTTTTATTATGGCCTCAAAGGTCGTAGGTGGAAGCTGTTAGCCCCGGCTGGCCCATTTAGCCCTTGCGTGTGCAGTGGAAATGAGGCTAATCATTTCTGAATGGCATAACTGAACAAATCAAACAAACAAACATAAACAGGCAAAGGAGGGGCCCATGGGCTGCAGCCCAGTCAAGCCCAATGGTAAGAATATATGATTTTGATTTAACAGTCTGCACAGACTTATTGACTGCACTGGGGCCAGTTGCATAAACTTAGCCACCATGTTAAGACTGTGTCTTAAGAACTAGTTTGACCAACTAACAGTTGCCAAAGGGTAATCAGTCTTACTTTGCCAATACATATAAGACCAATCTACCTTTTCATAACTGAATTTAAAAAGGTATGACCAGTCTTGAAGTAGGCCTGGGCGATAAAACGGTATCGATATTTATCGACGGTACACCTTCTTCGATAACGATAGAAAAAATATAGTGCACGATATAGTCACGTGCTATGAGTGACGCAGACAGCCCACACAAACACGAACACATGCTGAATTGAGTGCTGTGCCTGCCTGTGATGAGGAGATTGTGAATACACCTTCCGGGAGGGGGGAGTACTGTAACGCCCCTGTGGACTGTTTGTTGTGGTTTCTTCCCTTTGTGTTGGTTTAGCCCGTACTAATCATTAATTACCCTCATTGTGCTCACCTGTCTGCCACTAATTATCCACCACATATTAGTTCCTGTCTGTCTGAGCATTGGCGGTTATTGTTAATGTTACCCCGAGTGTGTGTCTCACCTACCTGAACCTGCCTTGTTGTGTCTACAATAAATGTCAGTATTGGAATCCTTGTCGTCCTCGTCGTCCTATGACTGTCCACACACCCGTTTCCGTGACAGATGTAGCCATGCAAAGTTAAAACAGTTTAGACTTTTAGAAAACACGTCGTGAATTTGTGGAGGTTTATTCCTTTTCACTCTTATGTTTTTAAATGCAATCTGCGTGATGGCCGATTTGGCTCTTTGTATTAAGCAATGCATAATTGTATTAAGCAATGCATAAATGCATGATACTATTTTGTTCATAATTGTTTATGCAATTTACGAAATTATATTTGATTTATAT